TTAGCAAAGAAAAACACTGTTCAGCCAAATCCTGCTGACAGTGAATAAATATTTCTCCTCCATGAGGCCAAATATTTTCATTTGTCAACCTAATACCTAGAGGTAAAAGATCTGAAAATATTTTTTTCCTCTATGGACTCAAGTAAATTTGAATGGTTCCATGTTTTATGGGAGGTGATTATTACTCCATACTCAGCACTGCTGAGGTTATGTCAGGAGTACTGCACCACGCTTTGGTTGTTACACTTCAAAAACTGGACAGATTTCTAAGGAAAAGCAACCAGAAGGTAGAAAACATGACCTCTGCAGAAGGACTGAGAGAAGGGGGCTTCCTCAGCTTAAAAAGTAAAATTAGAAAGCATTATTGACAAATCTAGTTTGTAAAAGTCTGCAATAAGGATGAGTGCATACAAGCACTGGGAGTTACAACTGACCAAAGAGGAGACTGAACAAATTTATGGAAGGGAATTGGATCAGGACCTGTTAAGCTGACAGCCACCACCACTGGCTCAAGAAGTTCTTGAGCCACAGATCGCTGGGGAGCAGCCTGGGGAAACATTACTACATGATTTCCCTTTCCTTGTATCTTCCCTCAGCATCTGCTGTTAGTCCCGGTCACAGACAATATCCCAGAGCAGCTAAACCTTTACACTGACCTTTACACTTTCTCACACTCTGCCCACTTTTTCTGATAAAACAGTACAAAAATCTGTTAATTCTAAAAAGTAATTAGCCCTGGGAAGAAGCCACTTGCAGAGCAACAGCAGCAGCGCTTCACTAAATACTTTAAGGAACAAGGGCACTTTAGTATACTTGACCCCTTGTTTCTGTTAAAAAAAAAGGGAAAAAAAGTTGCAAATTCTGCACTTGAGATACACATAAAATTTCCAATCCTGTAAACAAACAGTCAGGTCACACACTGAGGTGTGCTCAGGACAAAGTCTGAAACCTCAGTAAAACTGGCTGCTCTGCCAGATTTCATCTTGCATTCAGATAACAAAGTGCAAGATTCAGTGACATCTGCTAATCCTCTGTCTCATTACTGCAACTGATAGGAGAAGCCTTCACATTTCATAGAATCACAGAAAGGTTTGGGTTGGAAGAGACCTTAAAGATCATCCAGTCCAACCCCCCTGCCATGGGCAGGGACACCTCCCACCAGACCAGGTTGCTCAAAGCCCCATCCAACCTGGCCCTGAGGTTGTGAATCTTGCTTATAGTTGACACAGGCACATTTGACTCCATTGGAAAGATTCTTGATCATCTGTAATTCTCAACATTTGCTTCCACTACACCACTGTTTCATTACTGTCATGAAGACATACACTTAAAAAAAGGGACAAGTAATCTTTTTATCACAGATCTTTGCCCTCATTTAAGCCTTTACTAGATCTTTAGGTGTAAGGTTAAGGGACAGAAAACATGTAGAGCTAGACTGTAATCCAACCTAAGAAGCAGATATCATCTTTGGAGTGCCTTCTGGGTAAAACAGGAGGAAAAGAAATTATTTAACCCTATAATAATTGCTTCTTTAGAGCTTCGCAGAGCTGCTAATTGGAAATGGAATAGGGAAAATGCATTTATTGTTAACTCTGTGCTTTGCAAAGAACTTTGGCTGCTGATATCCTTTGGCATAACCCATTATTTAGTGTGGATTTCCCAATTAACATGTTTCAAAAAGGTACAAAGCTGTAAGAAGTAAATGTTCTGTTTTCACAAAAATCCCTGCCTAGGGTAATGAGCCAAAGAACACAGGACAGCACTCAGACCTCGACATGCTCAATATATTAACATAACTCTTTAGCGCTAATGCACCCTTCAGTGTGTTCATATATTTTAAATATAAGAGTGAATTATGATTGCCAAGCAACCTGTCAGGTTCTTGAAGGCACCTGCAGCATGTGCATACGGTCCTTTCAAATGACATAATCATGAGGAAATCTGGATTACAGCAGACTACTTATATGTAGATGGAAACTGGTCACCAAAGCAAGGGAAGCCATGCTTTTGTGTGCTGAACACTGTTAGCTGTATTTTTCTGCAGGGAGAATATTAAATAAACTAAAAGACATGACCTGATGGCTGTTATTTATAGGTGTGATGACAGGCAGAGAAAGGAAGCGAGCCCAGGCGTTCATACATGCAGCTTCTAAAACTGCATTAAGTAAGAGCATGCAAATCAGTGAAACTGCCCGTAGAAAATCTGAAGTGTTCAACGTAGGATCAGAACTTGCTCCAAAAAGTCGTCCTTTGACCATACCCACGTCGAATGTCAAGGCTGTAATTTCACAGTACACCGTCTTTGCCAATAATGTAAATGTTTGCGATCCCGAGTCTCACGCCAGCAACGCAGCATGTGCTGATACAGCTGCTTGGAGGGAAATGCTGTAAACTGCATCACTGCAGTAAGAAAAGTAACTCCTAAAAAGGGTGGATTTTTGATCCAAGTGGATGCAGTGAGCTGGTTCACAACATGGCCACAAAAGCCCGTGTTGACTCAGCTGATGGGTGAAAATGAACAACTAATGATGGATGGAGTTTCTTAGGCCAGTTTCATCACCAAGACCAGCGTATTGTAAAACTTCGTTCCAAGTGAGCCACCACAGGAGATTCTCCAGGTCTTTCGCTAAGGACTGCAGCAAAGGAATAAAGAGCTAGCAACTTTTATAACTGTGAGATCTGAAAGCTATTTTAGTAGCAGTGCAAAGCACTCAGGCTACCACTGACTTTATCCAAAACTGTGAGGACAGTGATAATTCATATCCTAAATCTGATCATTTTTCCAAATTGGTATCATAGCCTTACACATTGTAAACTAAGATTTGGATCCCATGGGAAAAGTTCAGGAGTATCAGTTCTGGGATACACAACATCAGATCATGAGATTCTGGATGAGTTCATGGAAAAATATTAATGGAACATACATTTAGGCAGTCAGAACCATTAGCTAGGAACAAAAAATATCTGGGCACTTTGTGAACTCAAGGATCTCAAGTCAAGGATGAGGAAGACTTCATTTTCAGAAGCACGGACAATGCTTCAAACACAATTTATCCAAAGCAGTTGTTCTAGACTTGACTTAAAAAATTGCTTACTACAGAGAAAATAAAACAGTTTTATCATCCTAGCCTAACCGTTACAGGTTACAGAAGAATATACTCTACAACGAAGAGGAGGCTTAGCTTCTGAATACACTATGAGAAGCATCTTCTTTTTTTCCTTTTGCAAGTTCCCCAAGACATCATTCAGCTTCCAGCCACTACACAAAATTAAGGGCACACAACAGTGTTACTGGTTAACGAAGAACGGCAAAACATTCTCTTCCCAAAATCTGTGTGTGAGGGTGATGACAGGCATTATCTTCTGAAAGAACAGTGTAAGCCACATACTCCCTTCTCTATCAATTGGTAGTTACCTCTTTACAGACTCTGAAAAAATCCACATATTTAGCAGCGTTCATACAAAATCACTAATAGAAGAGAGGGAGGTTGAAAGAAAGCACTTGTTTTCTGACACATGGTCGAGAGTCCCACCTTAACCTGCTGACTTCCCTTAGCTTGCCCACTTCCCACGACACCATCCTAGGAAAAATATTGCTCCAAACCACTTGCATCTAAAACCCTCTTCATTCCATAGAATCAGCAAGAGGCAATAAATACATCAGGGAACTGGTGAGGTGTTTTGTGACTGGAAATGTATCAAGTAGAGTATTCCCTACAAAGAGGCATCAGAAACATTTTGTGTCAGAGGGCAAAGGGAAGAAACGGCAGTGAAACCATTAACCAGCTCTTCTGCAAGGTGAGCAGCAGTTTACTGCTCCCTCTAAAACCACTGCCGCAAAAAAAACCAACCCACATAACCTCACACCAAACATCCAGACTTTGGTGTCAACTAAGTTAAAAGATACACCTTAGAAAAGACACAGTTCTTGTTCTCTCATGGATTCTTAATGGCACGGGTTACAGTTGTGATCTAAGGAGAAATGAAAGAACATTAGGACAAAGCAAGTATGCTCTCTAAACAAAATACTGTATGTTGTTAAGCACTCAGACGATTTTGCTTTAAGAAAATGACTTCCGGACATAAAGAAAAACGTACAATCAATCATTATATCAAATAAAACAGTTATATTAAGGTTGAATTTACAAAAGGTTAACAAATAATTAATAGCTGTTTTAATAAATAGGTATTCTCATCTATTATAGCTGAGATAGCTTCTAGCTGTCTACAGTACTGATGTCCTTGGAACCCTTCCTAACATATACTACACATTTCTCTGACATGAATTACAACATCTAGAAATCATTTATTAACCCTTCATAAAATTCTAGATAAACCTTAATATGAAGCATGACTAACTTTATACTATTTCAGCCCCATACCCCAGGACACATCAAATACTAGCTCTTTCAAGTTTTTATTTAAAATTCTACATTTGAGTTGGGAGCCACATCACTAGTCACAGAATCACAAATGCCTACGGTGGCTTAGCCAACGCATTGCAGACACAAGAAGTGAAACCGAAGTGGTGGGGGAAGATTGCAGGGCACAGTTCAGGTTCTTCCAAAAGAAATGGCCTGGTTTTTTTGTTGGGAAAAACACTGATACCAAGACAACAGAATCAGAGAGCAAAAAGCCAGTCTTTCGTAATTCAAGACATTGATTTTCCTTCTTTATAGAAAAAGAAAAAAAAAACAACAAAACACAATAGGTTATAATATAAATAAATAAATCAGAAAACACAAAGGTAAATTCCAAAGCCCACCACTAGGATCTTAAAAAGGCAACAGCCAACTCTTTCTTGGATGCAGCCTAAACTTCTCTTACCTGCAAATTTTCAACATACTTAAGAAGTCCTACTTAGCGTATCAGACTTAGGGAACAAGATGTATTATATTTAGGTCTCCTTTTTTTCCATCCAGTATTTTAATCTTCAAACCCCCACCTTAGTTTTTTCCAACAAATTGCCTGCTCTTGGTTTAACAAAGTTCAGCTCAGACTTATACTTTCCCTTCACTTTCAGAGCCTCTGTCTTCATTCTCACAGTCCTCCACAGAGTCTTCATGCTCCTGTGTCTTCTCTTCCTCCTCCTCCTCCTCCTCCTCTTCCTCCTCATCTCCAAAAGTCTCTTCCTGCATTGTAGTAAAAGTGAAAGACCTGGCAGCAACTTGTGCAGCCAGACCAGATGTGAAGTTTAAATCTGTTGATATGTGGAGCTGGGCCAGCCTATGCTTGATTTTTGAATGTAATGGATCCTTAGAGGGAGGTTGTGAAACCTCGACTCCTTCCGTATTGCTCGGCTTGAGTTCTTCAACTTCCCCTTCATGCTGATAACACATTCTTTCTTCAGCCCCTGTAGAAATACCTTCATCAGCTGTACTGTCTTTGTTTTTCTCCATCTCAGGATCTTCATACAAATACTCTGTCCTGCTTTTATCAGCAGCATTCACTTTTGGATTAGAGTCTTTTTCTTCAGATTTATCACAACTTTGGCTGCAGTCCTGCTTTTCTGTATCTGAATTCATATGTGATTCCAAATTACTTAGTAGCTTCAGCGGTTCTACAGGAGACAAGGGTTTCACTGCAGCTTAAAAAGGGGGAAAAAATTAAATGATAACTGAAAGCAAGCTGCAATATAGAAATTATTTATTTGTCTGAAAAGGTGCAAGGCTGTAAGTGTCAAAATGACTTTAAAAAAACCTCCAAAACAACAGAAACAAAACCCACAATCATACAAAACTTAAAATAAAAGTGTTTTCTAATCACAAAGCTGAAGTGAAATGTGATAGCTACTTGTTTTAACTAGTCCTCGAAATCTGTGATGTAAAGAGACAGCACAAAATCGGTGACGTTTAAAACCTGCATCAAACACAGGTGATGCATTCAACATTAAAGTACAAAACAAGTAAAACTACTGCACTGTATACAGATTTGAACTGTCTTCATTTCAAACAGCAGTTTACCTAATCCAATAAAGACAGCTGGTACATGAAATAGTCCTTATAGGCAATATCTGATCTCATACACCACAACATACAAATACAACACATATCCATACAGTCAGGTCAGGTGTCCTCACAAATAAAGTGTGGTTTAATTTAGCCTCTCTTGAAGTTAGTAGCAGCAGCGAGTCCCATTGCCAGCAACGGGATGCTTGCCAGGAAGTCTCTCCTCCCAGTGTTAAGGGTTAGTAAAACTCGGTACAAGCACTTCTCGAAGAACAGACGTCTCTCTTTTTAAGAAAACGATACAATGTCCATTTCCAAGTAACAGATTCCCTAAACTGCAGCAGCTCCATTAGAGTAGCAGCACGGACATAAATGAGAGCGGCAACAGCAGATTCCCAAGTAGCATTTCCCTTTCTAATTCCATTCTGACTTTACCCCTGTAAGCAGAGATGAAAATAACTCTGGGAAATACACAAACTTTTCACGGGAAACAAAATTTATGGTATTAGGATTTTTCCATTGCATCCTATTTCAGTAGTCTTTACTTTAGCTAGGTGAAGGCAGGCGCATCGTTACGGCTGTCACATTGATAACTGCTGTCATTAGCACACTGAAAGACTGTGGCTTCAAATCTGTATTTTATAATTTCTTTTAAAACCATATATACCAAAGGAGCACTGCACCAGACTCGTCTCAATTTTTAAGGTTATTGAAAGCTAATAGAAAGTTGTTCTTTCCCCATCTTGTAAAAAACAAGCTGCTGCTTATTTCTGCCCATTTGCTTGAAGAGGCAGGAATATGCACAGTAATCTTATCATCTGGGAGCAAACTTGTTGCCTACTTCCTCCAAATACTTTCAAAGCCAAAATTTCTCAACAAATAAATAAATACTTCAGATTGGTAGCTGGCCAATTTCCTGAGTGGATTAGTTAATAAGCAAGGTGGAATTCATCAATTGTCAGAGTGTAGCTTTCCAAATCTGAGCTGTATAAGAACTGTTGTAGGGACAAGGCGACAAGAGGAGGAAACAGCTGGGCACAACAGAACCACTGACAGAATGAACTTTTTTGGGTGGAGAGGTTAGGGAAAGGCTAGAAGTGATTTTGCACCAGAGAAAGTTGTTGACAAATGAAAATGATGCCACTAACAACTTCACAGACCTTTTCAAAAGCACTTCGATTTTACTGGCTCAACAGGATGCCAAAGGATGAAAATATAAGCTCACCTATGCTGCCATAAATTACCTACTGCCAAGGCTGTAAGCGGTATTACCATGGTGCTGGGCCTGGGTAAATTTGCTTTAATCTGGTGCTCTGCTAAGATGATGTTTTTCTTCTGGAGTTCAGCCTCTCATGTCCGGTTGACTTCATGCGGTGTTCTTCAGACATACCCACTGGTTTGGAGCTGACCTCTTTTGTGTGGTTCATCTCCCCCAGAGAGCTAAAACCCCTAACAAACCAGAATGGCTTGATAGCTGGGTGCGTTGACTAACAGATTAAAGCTTTTGAATGTTTCAGGATCTTTTTTCTCAATAATCACAAGTTAAGAGAACACAGGATTTCTGCAGTATGATAGTACTCTAAAAGCAAGATTTAAGAGGGCTATGAAAAAGTGTCCTTATGGCCATCTGTTGGCTTGGGCCAATGGAGTCAAGAACATGAACCTTTCTGGGTTTAAATCTTTAAGATAAAGCCAGTAACAAATGTGGAAAGCACAGATCATTAAAATGTTTTTTAAGGAATGACCTGTGTGTATGGATAAATTAAAGTCTGTAGCACTAATATGCCATGGTTCATTGTGTCACATTTAAGTGACTCGTGTTTCTTTTGAAGAAATAATGCAGAAATTCCTTAAAAACCAGTAGAAGATGTTACGTCTGCTGTCCATATCAGTCTTTTAGATTAGACACATGCAGTCCCTAAGCCAAAAGGAGATACAATTAATTACTTTCATGAACAACTCTCATATTTTCCAGTTTTGTATGGGATAGGAGTAATCAATGATTAGTCCTAAGCAGCTGGAGGAAATCAGACTTTCCTCCCTCCCCACCATTGAATGTCTCAACCTAAACTAATGTAATACCTATACGTGGAAAGGAAAGGAACCAATAAGGCTTTCAGGTGAACAGTTGCTGAAGCATACAGAAGTGAGCTGACTCTTCCCAGCTATGGCCACAAGTGGCCTGAGGATATACTGATGTGGACAGGTATCAGCTGCTAACCTACATAGGGAAAAATCCCATGCAAGTTCTCCTGACAAGAACTCTTCCTGCAGCAGTCCCTAGATCTGTCAAGACTTGAGCAGGTGGTAGGATTCAACAGGGAGGAAAAGACGACTTAAAGAGATTTATGTGAAGAGTTGTGTGGTGTCACATCTCACAGCAGAAGGATAATACAGAAATCCTACTCTCGAGCAATCTGATGTCTTAGGTTTTTAAGTCCACTAGAAGAGAAGTCAATACCAATGGCCAACCTAATCCTTTTACCACAGTTGTAGCTAAATGGACATAAAGAAGGCGGCTGTGAAGAACAGATACTTTGTGGGTTTGATGTCAAAAGAAACAGTCTCATAAATAGGTATGGTCTGTTACTGCATGCTCCCACTCAGTTTCTGAACGATGCAATCCATGGTCTTGTTTTCTGGTAATGTGGTAATTCTGGCAGAATCCTTGGATGTGTTGCCAGACCTGAGGGTTGTTTTCCTTAACATAGAACATAGAGGGCATTTCCTAATCTGTCTTTAAAAGAAAGGGCTGATAATGGGAAAAAGAAGGGAAAAGACAAACTACTGCTACTTTAAAAGATAATAAATCAAACAGGTCAAGCAGTGAAAGGAATCAAGTTGTATCCAGTCTTATTGCTGGAACAGAGACAGACTCCCTTGTTGAGGCAAGAGAAATTTTCATATTCCTGCCTTCAAGTGCACGTGGATGCAGCTGCCCAGCAGTCCTCAGAGTTAGTAAAGGCTGCTTTGGGAGAACTCTTCTTGTTAGGGGTGTTTTGGTTTGTTTTTTAGAAAACAATCCATATTCTGTATACTCACTCTCCTGCGAAACAAAAGCCAGTCTTACTCTTTTATGAGCGTTTAATATTTCACAGTCTAGCTCTTCATTTTAACCTATATATTTTTGTAAGTGTGGGTTAATTTCTGATGGTTTCTTTAAATTTTGGAAAGTAGTTGATTTATGCAGCCTGATGAAAATTCATATCTACTGGAAAGCCAAGAGAGAAAGTCGGTTCATTTTGCATGGTTTATAACCTGGCAGTTCTCTTTATGCTGTCTTAATATTTTGTTTATTTAGCTCAGTATTTTGTTTAAAGACAAATTCCCATTTCTCTAAGTTCTTTTCAATATACAGTAAAATGATTGCTACAAGCAATATAAAGAGATGGAATAGCAAACTAAGGCCACACAGCTCTATCAAAGACACTGCGATAGCTAAGCACTGTTTGAATTCTAACACAGTCAGAAGTTGATGGCAAACAGACACCGACCCTTTCTTAGAAAAGAATTAATTTTCAAAAGGAACACTTACCATGGTCGCTGAATAGCAGCTGTTTCCATTTCTGTCTTTCTATTTCTGAAGCTTTAAATCCTAGTACAGATTTCAGTTCCTGTAACACCCTCTTAGATTCCTGTCTCTCTCGTTCTTGTCTCTCGATTTCTTCCTGGGAAAAGCAGTAAAAATCTTCCCTTCTGTATTCATTCTCCACATCTGAATAATCAACATAAGCTTCCAATTCCTAAAGAAAGAAATAAATGTTCATCTTCACTGTTGGTGTAGACCCTGTCCCACAATCTGATGCATGATCAAGCAATCCCAACACAAGCCAACCACAGTAATAGGATGGAGCCTGAGCAGAGCTGGTGGATCTAACACTGCTCTCAGTTATATTTGTATAATTTTGGACCAAGTCCACTCATTTCAAGTTAACATTACTGCAGCCACCTAAGATTTACTTTCATACACAAGTGTGATCAAGTGATACACCTTGAATATGAGTCCATTTCCCCATAATTACAGGTGGAATAAGCAATGCCAGTGTGGGTTTACACTATAAGCAACTCTCCCTCAGTCAGGCATCTTGCTAATTTAACTTATGTAAATCCTTATTAATAGGATGTTGAGAACAGCAATGTCCTCCTCCAATTTTAACTATACTGGCCTATAAACATGAAAAACAGAGCTTAATTTCTGTTGTAACAGACAATGAAGTTATTAGTCCCAGCTCTTCAATAAAGAAAAAACTCTAAAGTGAATACATGTAGGGTAGGCTTGGGAGAAGGCGAAGGGGGGACAGAGCAGAACATGGGTGTTCAATCTGCTTTCAGAATGCATCTTCCTCTCAGTTGTGGGATGAAGGAAGTCAGCCTTTCCTCAAGACAGCCCAACCATGGCACATGAGTTCCCTAAACACCACAAAACTGCTCAGTGCCACAGTCTGGTTTAGATATCCAAAAATGCAGAGATTACTCAAACTGAAGACAGTCTGGTTTGTTCTGGAGCTCGTCACTTTTGTGAAGAGCTATGTCAGTTCATCTAACAATATGCAAGTAGGACTCTATTTTATATGCTGCCTTTTAGCAGTTCATATTTTTTTCTATATTATTCTGACTTGTGTTGCTGCTCTCCTTCTGTCACTTTGTAATGATACATAGGAGAAGAAGTGAATGCTAGTGCTCTTTTTTCCAGGATGGGGAATTTCTCCCCATGGAACAGCAAAAGGTATATACATAATTATTTTCTCCAAGTTCAATTATGAAATGGCACTGGCTACCTACTTGATCTGTCTTGGCAAGACAAGAAGGTCACTGCACAAGCAACTGAAAAAGGAATGGATACAGCAAACAAGCCCCAGTTATTATTTTAAATGGTCTTTTTTTTTTTTTTACCTGCTCTTCAGGAATTGGATCTCTGTTTTCTATGTATATGGCAGGCTGTGTTAAAGGTACTGTGGTACGCTGTAGGTTGTCACTGGAAACTTCAGGCTTGCCTTTAGTGGGAAAGAAGAAAAAGGATTTAAAAAAGAAAAAGACTGAGCTTTGAATGATGTTTTTGACTCAGACGGGGTCCAGGCATCTTCATTAGGCAGGACTGCCACACACGAACAAATGGTGAGAAGGCTGGTTTGAATACACTGAAACACTATGTTAGAGAGCACTTAAATAACTTAGCTATTTTGATAAAAGCTGGGTCTGATGAAATTCAGTTTGAAATACTTCAAGTAACAAATCTCAAATTTTTTATAGACTTTGAAAACCTGCAGATGGCAACAAAAATTGGTAAAACCAGAAAAGAGACTTGGTGCCCAAGTTTAAAAGAGAAGTAAAATAGTAAAAATAGAGGCAAATCAGCTTCAAATAATTGGAAAATACTGGAAGAAATAATCAAGCAAAATTTACAGGAAACAACTGGAAAGTAGCAAGGAGATAAGTAACAGCCAGTGTGGGTTTGTTGAGAATAGAAGATGTCACACCACTCCAATTTCATTTTCCAATGCAGAAGCAGGTCTTATGAATAGGCAGATGTTCTGTTCTTTGGTTTCAGTGTAGCTTTTCAGAGAATCACAGAATGGCAGGGGTTGGAAGGGACCTCTGAAGATCACCTAGTCCAACCCCTCTGGTAGAGCAAGATCACCCAGAGAAGATCACACAGGAACAAGAGACACACAGTGTAGTTACCGTTTTCAGACAGGAGCTTACCTTTGAGTAAGGATTTGTCTCAAGTCCAATATTCTTTAATATTTCCAGTTACGTGAAAGAAAAGTATTTCAGCTCATTACATGCACTGACATTAGGATAATTTGCAAGTATGCTGACGGGCACAATTAGAGTCTTAAAATAATACTGGAGAATCAGAGGTACAGCGCAGGAAGAACTGGATTTCAGATACAGCAGTTTGGTGGCAGTGGCTGCGAATTTTTGTGCTTTGGAATAGTCAAATGCACAAATATATGGTAACTGACTGGGCAGCAGCACTGAGAAGAAGGTGTGAGCAGCCCAGTAGCCAACGATACCCTGCTGCAAGCAAAAAGCCAGACTATATAGCAGCACATAATAAACAACAGCGCTGACTATTGGACACATGAAATGACATTTCTGCTCTGGCACTGATGAAGCTGTGGATGGAACACAGTGCCCAGTCTAGGGCTCCTTCACTCAATAATGGTGTGGATCAACTTGGGGGAGTCTGGAGAAAAACTGGAAATGATCAGAGAACTAAATAAAGTATAGTTGTCGGGGAAGAGTTGAAGGATACAGAGTCATGTAGAGAAGATAAAAAGAAACATATTATCTGTCTTCAAAAATGTAGGAGCTATGAAGAAGAGATGGATTTCCATTGTGGGTGGATCAAAAGTACTTCTTCTAAATTGCAGCAAGAGATATTTATATTCAGTAATAACTTTCTACTGGTAATGGAGTTAAGAGCTGGAGTAGATGCCTGGAAATACTGCAAAATGTCTGTAAAGAGAGGTTTTTAGGAAAAGATAAACATTTACTCACAAACACTAATTTACCCTTGAGAAGGGAAATGGCCTAGATGACCTAGCCAAGCCCCATCTATCCCTGTGTTCAGTTTCTAATCTATACATTGAATACTTAGGCATGGTATTCTGAAAGTAGGCAGTTCATATTAATGACAATTCTAATGGTGCTCAATTACCTGCTTTTGCAAACAAAGTATGTAATTCCCTAGATGGCTGGGCTGAGCTGAAGATTTGACATTCCAGAAGTATCTAAAAGCAATGTTTAAAAGAAAGGTGAAGCATGTAGGGAA